CCTTTCACTAAATCCCCTCGCTCCAAAGCCAAACCATCTTCAAAGGGACACGAAGGCGCAGAGCAGCGGCCGGGGTGGGCCCGGGGCTCTCGAGGGCTGGGTGCGAGAGGGCGTTTGGAAGCAACGGCCACACGTTGGCCAGCTTGAAAAAGTTGATGCAAAACAAACGGAAAGAGCCAGACGGGCAGTGGCCGGGGCCCAGCGCGTTCTGGGCTCGTGCTCCCCAGACACACACGGGGCCCAGTGAGGACCAAGGCTGTGGCAGGCGTTGGGGGGACGGACAGGGTGGTGGGTTGTCCCCTCTGTGAACGAAGCTTCGAGCCATGGTCTTGCATGGACCTTCCAGGAGGGATTATGGGAAGGGGACAGCGAGAGACCAGGACTCAGGGGCACCGGCTGATCAGAGCAAACGTCACTGCAACACAGGACGCGTCCCGAGAGGCCACGCCGCCCGGGGCTCTGAGCTCTGCCCCTGGACCTGGGTCCGTGGAGCTGGTTCTGGCTGGGCGCTGTGTCCTCGGGGTGGACGTATCTGAGGATGGCCTGTCGGCCCAGCGCCTCCCACTTCTGAGCTTCCCAGCAGGGATGATGAGAGGACAGAGTTTTTGACTGGTCACCAGGGCCAAGCCACAACTAAGCCTCCCCACCAACTCGAGGTCGAACCTGGGAATGGTGTGTAGCTTGGCCTGGAACCCAGAGGACTGGTGCTGTTTCAGCAGGATTTTTGGGTTGGGCTTTTTTTTTTCTTTCCAGTTGAAAGTGACTGATTCTGGGGCTGGAGAGATAACCCAAGGGCTGAGTCTTTTGCCTTACTTGCAGCTGCTCCTAGTTCAGTCCCCAAGACCCAATCTAGGTTCCCCGATGCCTGAGGAGTGACCCCTGAGCACAGAGGCAGGAGTCGCCCCTGGGCGCCTCCCCCACCCCAAATGACAAAATCCCAGAGAAGTGTAGGCAGAACCGGAATGAGAAGTACAGCAACTGACGTTCCCGGGGATGGTGTGGATTCCAGTCCGCTGCACCCACTGTGGCCTCACTGCCCAGCCGCTGCCCACGGCCCTCCGTGCTGGCCCACCCGCGGTCAGAGTCGCTTCTGGTGGCCCAGTGGCTCCCAGTGGCCCCAGGCACGCTTCCTCCCTCGTCCACAATCCCAGCCCCTAGGAAACTTCTTTCTCGGGTATCCAAGCAACAATCAAAATGACTGAGTCCATCTTTGTGGACAGGGGCTAGAACCCATGAACTGGTCACTCTCTGTTCACGTTGGGTCTCCTCCTGACACACTGACAAAGGGCTGGTGGCTCAAAGAGCTCAGCATGGGCGCTGGGTGCTGCAGTGCCCGCTGGGTGACGCCTGAAGCCGACGGGGTTCCCTCCTTCGTGGGTGGCCACACCGGGCTCCCCCGTGGGGCCTGGGCCACAGCACACTGGCCCGCAGGTGCTGTCCCACACCCCGTGACTGATCGGGTACAGCGAGGGCGGGACAGCAGCTGCCCCTTGGGGCAGGGACAGCGACAACCTTGCCCGCACAGGCCGCCTGGGCCCCGCGCCTCTGGAAGGTCTATCGGGAACATTCTCTGGGCCACTGACCAGGGACGGGGTCACCTACTGCCCAAGGGGACAAGAGCCCAATGGAATAGCACCTAGCTATCCCTGCCAGCCCACCCTGAACCCCCCCCCCCCCACCTCTCGTTCCTCTCATTCCACACGGAGCAGACCCCAGAGGGTCTTGACGCCAAGCCTTAGGGTTCTTGGGGAGACCCAAGGACAAGGGGGCACCCCCCTCTGTGTCCAGGGACCCCCCACAGCAACCAAGCCCCCTGACATGGATTCTCGAAGGTGTGCCAATCCTGGCAATGGTCGGAACAGATGGAGGACGTTCTGGGACTTTCCCCACAGTTTTGGCAGCTTCCAAGGACCATGAGGTCATGAGTGTTCTCTTCCGGGTCAAGGCATGTTTGCGATGAGTGTTCTCTTCTGGGTTAAGGCTCGTTCTCCGGTGGGGGCCGCTGTCTCTTGCATCAGGACCGTTGTGGTCCGGCCCCTCTGCACCCATTGTCTTGTTTCTGTCCCCACTTCTACCTCCTTGCCTGTTCAGTGTTCTCTGCCCCTTAAATCAGAATTTTCCAGATTTCTGGTCCAGGTCCCCTCAGCTTGTGATTTGCTAGGTCAAGTCTCCAAAGCACATTTGCAAAGAACTCCATTCACATTCTAATTCTGATTCCTTTTTTTTTTTCCACGTAATTATTTTCCTTCCTTCCTTCCTTGATTCCTTCCTTTCTTTTTCTTTTCCTTTTTTTTTTTTTTTAGGCTTGTTTTTTGGGCCTTACCTGGCTGTACTCAGGATCACTCCTGGCAGGGGTTGGGGACTGTGTTGTAATTTTTTTTTATAATAGCCCAGTATAAGCATTCTCACAATCAGACATTATCTTTTACCCATGCTTACTTATAAAACAGTCGTGTGTGTGTGTGTGTGTGTGTGTGTGTGTGTGGTTTGATCCTTAGCACTGTGTCTGGTCCTGGGGATTGAACCTGGGTTGACTGTGTCCGTGCAAGACAGCCCTGACTTGAATAAGTTTAGGACGGACTCCTCTGTCAGTGACAGCCGGAGAGCCATTCCCACCCGCCTTATCCGTAAGAGATGACTACTAAGTGCGATGTCTCAGTCTTTGTGTCGGTTGCTTTTGTGGGGGGCCCCACCAGTGCTGGCAGGTAAGTGCCCCCTGCTTGTCCGCTCTCTCTGGGGAGGACGGGGAGCCATACCCCGCCGGGGGTTGAACCCAGGACTCCTGCGTGCGAGGCCCAACCCTTTGAACCACTTCCCCGGCCCACTTACACAATCTTAAGTAGAACAACAAACAAACAAATAATTCATTTCAACAGCGGGCAAAGCCCTCCGGTGCCCGTTCCTCCGAGGGAGGCAGAAGGAGCAGCCCCAGCCCAGGAGAAGCGGCTGCGTGCAGCTGGTCCCGAGAACATGGGCCCGAACGTGACACCACCTCACACGTCCCGCGGGATGACCAGAGGAACCGATGCTGACCAGGACGTGCGCAGAGCGGGAGCAGGGGCGTCGGGGGCCGAGCACTGCAGCGGGGAGCAGAGGGCGCTGTCCCCAAGAGCCAGCACCCAGGGGAACGGGGGCTGGAGAGGAGTTTGCATTTCTTCACTCTGTGCATCCTTCATGGCCATGGAAATGTGGACGCAAGCTCGGGGGGCTGGGGAGGGAGGGATAAGCCGGAGGGTCTGGGGAGACCCCGGGCCGAGCACCGACCCCACCATGGGCTGTGCCCGCCTTCCAGGGGGAGCTCGGACCCGCCGCTGGCCTCAGTCCGGAGGTCAGCGTGCTGCGAGAGAGGGTCCCCCAGGAGGGCTGGGCTTCTCTGGGTCAGATGACGGAGGACATGGTGCGTGTTCAGACACCGTGGGGACCAAGGACATGGGACGGGCCCAGGCTCAGTTCCCAAGATGAAAAGAGCTCGGGACAGATGGGGTGAGACTTGCACAACTCCAGCGCCCTCAATCCCACTTAAAAGTGGCAGACACAGTTGGTTTTATGTCACGCTTCTTTGACCACAATTAAATATGAAAGCGTGGAACAATCCTGGCTGAGTCCCACGGCTAGCTCGCCCCGAGAGCACAAAGGGCCGAAGACGCAGCCCGCGGCAGGAGGGCTGCTGAGGGGCCCAGGGCCCAGCGGGGAAAGCGGAGTGGCAGTGGGGCGGGTAGTCCCGGGCACTGCTTCTAGAAGCATCCATGGAAACCGCCTCCTGACCAGCCAGCCGCTATCTCCTTTTCCTGCTGGTCAGTCAGGGTGGTGTCCTGTCGTGGCGGAGCCTCGGGGCTGGGCCCTGCCCGTCCCTCCTGGGACACCGAGGGGAAGGAGAGGCAGGGTCGTGCCGCGCTACCCGCCAGCCCACTAGGTGAGGGCTTAGTGGCGGCTGCGGGACACACGTGTGTCCGGGGCCTGGACACACGCGGCCTCTCGAGGCCATTCTCTCTGGGTGTGGCTGGTTGGTCCCTTTCTCTGCCCATGGCTCTGCCTTTCCCCGGCATGGATGGGCCTACTCATGCCCAGCGGGTCCACGGGAGGTTCCGGGTGCATCTCAGGCAAACATGAGGACCCTCGCCTGGGGCCTGGAGAAGTGTCAGGAGACCCCCAGGGGCGTCTGTTCTCAGCAAGGGCGTCAGTCCCCTCTGCCTCTCACGGCAAGGGTTACATGGGATAGCAGAGACTGGCATCCTCTTGACTCTGCTGCTGGCCAGCCTTTCTGGGGCCACAGCTCTCTATGGTCCCCAAGGAGGGCGTCCCACCTTGAGCACTGACCCTTGACCATCAGGGGGCCTGGGGTCGCTGCACGGGAAGGGGACAGGGATAGGGTGGCCGTGCCCTGCAGCGAGGAAGGGCTGTCAGCAGCGTGGCCGTCCACCCGTGCCAGGGCACCCCACCTTGCCAGGCCCCTGCAGAGAAGTTTCCGGGGGGCTCTGGGGGGGATGCTCACCCCTGCCCCTCCAGGCCTTCCCTCTGGGCTGGGGCTTTGTACCGTCCATCCCTCCTCACTCGAAGGAAGCGTTTCCAGACGCTTCCTCTGGGCCGGGCTGGGCTGTAAGAACAAAGTCACCCCTCCACAGTAGTCCTGGGGTCTCCCCATAAAGGTCCCCGGGGGGAGGCACCTGGAAGGCGCTGAGGTCTCCCCGAGGAAGGGGACCCTCGCTGGGCGCCGGGCGGACTTCGCTCCTGCAAGGAGCCTCCGAGGGGCAGGGAGGGGACGCTGCGGGCGCCTGAGTCACCCAGAGTAAAGTACAGGCCGGTGTCCCGAGGTGAACGCAGCCCGGGCAGCCCTGCCCTGGGAGGGGGCGCGCCCCCCGCCGCGCGCCGCCCCGCCCGCGCGCGCGCGCGACCCCCTCGCGGCCGGGTTCAAAGGCCCGCGCGCTCCAGCCCCTCGGGGGGCGGGGAGGCGAGGGGGTGGCGCGGGAGGCCAGCCCGGCCCAGGGCCGCCCCGCGGGATGGGCAGCGCGCGCTGAGCGGCGGCGGGCCGGGCCGAGCGCGCGGGCGACGGGCGTGCGGGGCGCGGGCGCGGCGCCCCCCGGGCCCATGGAGCGGGGGCTGGCGCTGCTGTTGGTGCTCGCAGGTACGCGGGCCGGGGGCGGCGGGCGGCGCGGGCACACCCCAGGCCGGCGGGGCCGGGGCGCGGGGGCTGGGGCCCGGGGCGGCCCGCGCGCCCCCCGCCCGCCGGGTCCAGCCGGTCCAACTTGGCACAAAGTTTGCGCGCGGGCCGGCGCGCGGGGCCGGGGAGTTTCCAGGGGCGCAGGGAGCGGGGAAGATGCGGGAAGCGAAACAGCTGCCCGGCTGCAGCATCGGAGGGGGACGGGCACCGGGGGCGGGCGGCAGGGGGTCCCGCGGCCCGCCTCGGCCCGCACTCGGGTCGCCCCCTCCCCAGGTGCGGGCGGCTCCCGCCGCAGCCCCCCTGCTCAGGCGCCCTCCCCTCTGCCTCCCGCAGGATCGGTGTCTCTCCCCACACCTGGGGGTGCTGGCAGCACCGGAGACCCCCGGGCCTCCCCTGCCGCCCGGCCCGAGGGCGACATGAAGGACCCGCTGACCGCCCCGGGCGCGCAGGGCTGGGGGCCCAACAGCCCCGGGCAGGAGCAGGGCCCGGCCCGTTTGGGGGCGCAGGGGGCCCTTGCCCGGCCCCGTGCCCGGCGCTGCACGTGTTTCACGTACAAGGACAAAGAGTGTGTCTACTATTGCCACCTGGACATTATCTGGATCAACACGCCTGAGTGAGTTGGGGGAGGGGCGCACTCTCCATCCTCCCAGTGGGGACCCTGGTCAGCTGAGCCCGGGGTGCGGGGCAGTTTCTGCTCCTCCTTGGTCCTGGCCCAGGATGGGGGGGCGGGGGAAGGCGACACCTGAGACCCGCAGTGCCCGCCGGTCTGGCCTGCTGAGTGGTCCCGCTGCCCGCGGCCTCCCAGGGTTTCGGATTCCTAGAAAGCAGCTGTTCTGGGTCCCGGGAGCTGCCAACCCCTTCTTCTGCCAGCGCTGGGTCCCGCCAGCACCACACTTGCTTCCCGCTGCCCCTGGCCTTGACGGGGTGGCACGCTCACCCCCTCACCTGCCCCGGGACCCCGTCAGTCCTGGTGCTCGAGATGCCACCGGGCTTGGCGGGTGGCACCCCCCACCCTTTCTCCAGCGCCTGCCCCCAGGGACCAACCAGCACCTCCCTCTGGCCTTGGTGTGGGGCCGGGGGACTTCAGGGCACCACTGGCACCTCCCGGGGGCTGCAGCCAATCGCAGGTGGGGGCCGGGGGGCGCCCTGGCCGCAGGTCGGGTGTGTGCATCAGTGTCTTCCCGGGCTGATGCAGGCACCCAGGACTGTGGGACAGGCCCACTTCAGCGTCGAGAGCTGACGGCCGACCCACCCCTGGGCAGCCCTGGAAGGTCACCCCCACGCCTCCCAGAGACGTGTGGGTTGCAGGTGGCTGCCGCTGCCCGGTGCCCACCCTGTCCCAGTGGCCTGGCTGTGGTCTGAGTCCGTTGGTGCCCAGGGTCCGGGCAGAGCCGGCCAGCCCGAATGCCAAATGCGTCATGCTCAGCCGTGGAGCCCTTGACCGTGGACCTCACCTGGCCCGAGAGTGGGGAGGGGGGGGCAGAATTGGGGCCCCCCAGGGGTGGCGGCTTGAAACCTGCCCCGGGGCGGAGCAGGGCAGAGTCGCAGTGGGTGCCCGTCACCACTGTCTCTGGGCCGGGGCCTGGCGCGGACTTTCCCAGGCCCTGGGCGCTGATTTACCTCTTCCCTGCCCTGCCCTGATTCATGTTAAACACTCAGGGATTAAATATGGTGTTTGTCAGCCCCGAGCGCTACTTGGGGAAACAGAGTGACAATAGCCAGACGCGGGGTTCTGAAGTCCGACGCAGGATGGTTTTTACAGGACTTTTCCGGATGGCCTGGGTGGCCTTCCATCCTCGCCTTCTCCCCTCCCTCCCCCCAGACCCCTGGCCCGCTCCTTCCTGACCCCCTGGACATGCACTGGGTCCCCCTCCAGGTCCGTTGGGGCAGGCGGAGGCCACAGGGAGAGGACAGGCCCCCCGGGAAGGTTCCTGACGGGGAAAGGCGCTGTGCAGAGGAACGGGGGCTTCCTGAAGGTGTGGCCCCCCACCCACCCACTCTGCCTCTGAGTCCTCCTGTCCGGTGACCCCTGCAGCCCCCCTCAGCCGCCCTCTGGTGTCTCCCACGCACCCTGGGTGTGGTCCCGACCTGCAAACTTCTGCCGAGCCCTGGTACTCAGTGGATGAACTCGGAATGCCACCCCATGCCGTCCCCACCCGCCGACCCTCTTGTCCCTTATGTGGGGGGGGTAACAATCCTGCTTTCCCCCAACTCACCCCATTTCCACGGCAGGCTGCCATGGGGCCTGGGGCGTTCCCGAGATGCTCCGGGGTTTCCCGCCCAGGTGCTGCCCCGACCTTGGGCTCCGCCCCCTGCACCTCATCGGTACCCAGGGGGGCAGCTGGTCATGTTGGGTCCCGAGGCCTTCTGAGGGAGCCTGAGGCCGCCAGCCTCATGCCCACATACTGCCCACGGGCCCTGCAGGCCTGCAGGTGTGGGGAACACGCCCTGACCTCTGGACATGCCCCCGGGCCACTGTGTCCTCCCTGGCCGCCCTGGACCCCACGGGTCCCTGGATGGCTGTGCCCACAGACCCTGTCGTGTGGGTGCCCTGAGACGTGCCCTTCTCTGCGACCCCCAAACATTCCACTGATGACCATGGAACCAGAAACCAAGGTCCCAGCCCGAGGGTGCTGCCCAGGAGGGGGTGGGGGGCCGTCAGGGCACGGGGTGTTGGATCCGGGTTTCCCGGCCCATGTGGCTTGGCTCGGCCCCACTGTCTCCGTCCGGGCCAGAGTGGATCCTGGGCCGCGGGCTCAGGCAACTCGTGCCTGTCTGTGCGGTGGGCTGGGCCAGCAGGGTGGGCACGAGACGGTGTGTGCGGGTGTGCTGTGTCTGTGTGTCTGTGTGTCTTTGCATCTGTGTGCTTATCTCTGTGTGTCTGTGTGTGTCTGTGTGTGCCTATGTGTCTAACAAACAGACACTATGCCTGTGTCTCTGTGTATGTCTGTGTGTTTGTGTGTGTCTGTGTCTCTGTGTGTGTCTGTGTTTCTGTGTATGTCTCTGTGTGTCTGTGTGTCTCTGTGTATGTCTTTGTGTCTCTGTGTATGTCTTTGTGTCTCTGTGTATGTCTCTGTGTGTCTGTGTGTCTCTGTGTCTCTGTGTGTGTGCATGTCTCTGTATCTCTCTGTGTGTGTGTCTGTCTGTCTGTGCCTGTGCCCCTGTGGGCCCAAGTGTCTGTGAGCGGAGTGTGTCTGTGTCAGGACCCGCACTGGGTGTGGACAGAGCAGGATCTCGTCCCGGTGGCCCCTGGTCTTCCTGCTGGCTAGGACCAGTTTGCTTCCCGTGCCCACCCCCGCCGCCGGGGATGCCCAGGCTGGAGGTGGCCACGGGTCTGCGTCCCCCGACTCTCCTTGGGGTGACTGAAGCGCTGATCCCTGCAGGGCCTGCAGGCGGCCACGTGACCGGGACCGCAGACAAATGGGAGCCACATGGCTGGCGGGGCGCAGAGTCTCAGCGGGAAGAGCAGCTGGGATGTGGGAAGGGCCCTGGGGTGCCCTGAGGCCTCTCTCCTCCGCACGGGGAGGGGGGTCGGGGGGTCGCCCTCGGGCTCCCGGTGGGGCGACCCTTGGCGTGAGACACTGGTCAGCCCACCGTGACAGGGACCGTGGGGGGAGGGACGGCTCCAAACAGGCCCGATTCACAGCGTGTGGACGCATCCATGCGCTCTGCCCCCACGGGCCCAGACGGCTTCCTGGGCATTGTGCTGGTCACAGAGGCCCGTTGGCCCGTATCCTCGAGGGCGTCCCATGGAGTGGGGCATCCGGGACCCCAGTTTCCTGCCACGTGGGACCCTCTGGGCCTCACAGTGGGGCCTCAGGAGTTGCTGGGGTGCTCAGCCGTGGGGTGCGGGTGAGGACCCAGGATGCCGCAGGTGGGGCCGGCCTGAGCGTGAGCCCAGGTGTGTCCCCTGTGGTGCCCCCCCCCCGGGTGCCCTGCTCTGGGCAGAGCACCCCAGGACAGTTCCTATGGCCACTGGAGCCGCCCCAGGCGAGCTGCCCGTGTGGGGGGGTGGTGGTGCGGGGGCCTGCGGGCAGGTGGGCCGAGGATGTCCTCTGACCACTCCCCCCCCCCCAAGCTGCTCCCAGGCTGTGAGTCGTGCCCCGGCCTCCAGCTCTCGTGGGTGAAGACCTGGAGTTTGGGGGCTGGGTGTGGTGGCCCTGCCCGCCAGCCTCTGCCTCCATCTGCCCTTTGGTTTTCTAAGCAGGAATCCAAAGTTTTTTTTTTAAATTGTTCTTGCAGGGTTGGGGTGATAGCACAGTGGGGAGGGCGTTTGCCTTGCATGCGGCTGACCTGGGTTCAATTTCCGGCATCCCATAGAGTCCTCCCTGAGCACCGCCAGGATTAATTCCTGAGTGCAGAGCCAGGAGTAAGTCCTGTGCATCGCTGGGTATGGCCCAAAAAGCAGAAAAATAAAATGTTCTTGGGTCCGGGAGCCGCCCTGCCCCCCGGCACCCCCAGCAGTGCCCGGGGGGCCCTTCCTGGCTCTGCTTGGGAGGAGGACCCCTTGGCCGTGCTTGGGGACCCCCGTGGCCGTGTGCAAGGCGGGCGCTGCTTCCCGCTCCCTGTGGAATGTGTGGGGGCTGCGGGGGGGGGGGCTCGGCTCGGCTCGGCTCATGGAGGACGCCGCATGGGGTCTGTCCGTTCCCGCGCTCAGTAGTTAACCCCGGCGGGGGCAGGCCCCTTGGCACCCCGAAACTCTTGCTTTCGGGCTTCTCCGGCACGGCAGAGCGACTCCCCGGAAATACTCCGGATGCCAGTCGAGGAAAGAACTAAACAAACAAGGACTGACGTGCAGGCGATGGGGGCGGCCCGGGAGGGCTGGGCTCAGGCAGCCGCGGCCGCTTCGCCCTCGAGACCGGCTCCTCTCGGGGCCTCCCCGAACACCCCACGCACAGTTAGGCGCGGGGAGCCGGAGTCGGGAGCACAGCGCTGAGGCGCCCCGTGGGAGAGACGAGTGCAAAGCCCAGGGCTGCTGCCCGACCGCAGGGGGCGGCTCCCTCCCCCTCCAGGCGGGGCCTGGAGTCGGGTGGGGGGGGGGATGCTGCAGTCAGAGACGGGCTGACGGGGAGAGAGAGAGAGAGACAGAGACAGAAACACACAGAGACACAGAGAGAGAGAGACAGAGAGTCAGAGCCAGAGAGACAGAGACATCGAGAGACATAGAGAGGGCAGAGAGAGACAGAGATAGACAGAGACACAGAGAGACAGAGACAAAGAGAGACAGAGACACACAGAGAGAGAGACAGAGAGTCAGAGCCAGAGAGACAGAGACATCGAGAGACAGAGAGAGGGCAGAGAGAGACAGAGATAGACAGAGACACAGAGAGACAGAGACAAAGAGAGAGACAGAGTGAGAGAGACGCAGAGACAGAGACATGGAGAAAAAGATGGAGAGAGACAGAGAGACAAAGAAAGACAGAGACAGAGCGCGTGAGAGCAAGGCATGTGTGCGCTGGGCTGGGAGGGCGTGACCCCACGTGACCCGGCGGGAGTCTGGCTCTCTGCACCCTGAGAAGCACTTGCAGCTAGAAACTTGGCCCTAGATCTGAGGCAGATGAAAGACCAGCATTTTTGTGCGGGCGATTCCTGCAGGAATGTCAGACAGAGGAA